GTACTGTCCACTAGGGGGCTGTGGTAAGAGTCTGTGAGCAACGTTTTCTCAAAGTGTCCCATCAAGGGCTAAAGCATGCGATTGATCCACACTAGGCACGACAATACAGACATGAACACACGCACACGAGAACACCGAAACAGGTACAAACATAGCCTGAGGGACAAACCCTCACAATCTCCCACCGACTAAAAGAACAGATCACCACCAAGGAAAAAAAAGAGCATTTTACAACTCTAGATAAGCAGAATGAAAAGTGCAAGAGAAGAATCAAACAAAAGACACAGTGGCAGACTTTTGATTCTTTTATCCCCAGATTACGCCAAAGCAGACATGAAGGCATTGGCTGGCATTCAAAAAAATATGAAAACGTCTCTGTTATGGGCGTTAGAGCACTCTCATTGATTTGTATGACATAAAACAGTCACCGAGAGTTACAAAGACAAGCGAGCTGGTTTTGTAAGCAGATTTGTACATGGAGAGCAACTTAAAGACTGAATCCATCAGCGTTTTTTAAACTGCTCCCCAATATTTTGATATTATATTCCCAAATTATTTAATTGTTTTTAAGCAACAACTCCGTGGTTTACGATAAGGAATGTTTCAAACAAATGTTCATTGTGCACGCTGCCATACAGGCAGAATGGCAGTGCTTGAGCAACTCACAACAAAGAATGATCATTTATTAAAGGGCCTATGCATTATTATTATTAAGGTCACATGCATTCACACTCAAACCTCAAGCAATGCTGATTGAAATTACTTGGATAAGCTGAATTTCTGCACAATTCTCTTCAATTTTCTTGTTCGAATACTTTGTAGGTATCCTATATCGAATTTTGGATTGTGAATTATTATTAAAATGGTTAAAACAAACAACTTTTCATAGTTATACAACCATTTTAATTGCCCTTTGCCCAAACAATGCATGTGTGTACATATATAGTGGAATGGCAACAGCTATGACCACGTGTATATGTTCATACAGACATCCCTAGCACACTTTGTGTTAAATCAAGGTGCTTACAAAACCCAATATAAACTGATATCATCATAAAATCAATAAAAAACCATTGAAAAGACACATTATTAACAGAAAGACTGACTAATTCAACTTAAACTGCCAATAATGCTTAATTTAGCACATCTTAGGAAACAGTGTGGCCCCGTAGCTTCACAAACTATATGGAATGTCGAGGAGATTCATCGGCCTATGAAAGGAGGAGACGTTTTAGGATCATCTATATAGCTGAGCTCCAAAGATTTAGCTCAAGTCTTATGGCTTTATCTTATTCACACTCGCACACACAAACTTATTGGCTAGTTAAACGCTGTGTTTATGTAAAATATTCATAAATAAAAGCTTGTTAGAAAACAATGGGGACTCCAAGTTTTCTATAACACGATTGACAATATTGTGCTCTGGCAATTTTGTTGCCAAGGTAGAAATCAGTTGGTCCGGAAAAAAAAATCACGTAAGAATGACAAAGTCAGATAAAATGGCAGTAAACGTGACTTCTCTCATTGGCACTGACAGTGAAAAAATTATAATAAAGTGTAATTTTTTTCATAATGGTTGGTTGGGGGTGGTGGGGATATTCACTTGGAGCCCCCGCTGGAAGTTTTGACTTCCCACAAACATATTCTGACAAAGAGACATACAAATAGTACTCTGAAAAATAAATGCAAATAAATCATTTTGAATAAATAAATGAATACATAAACATTTTGTTCCTTAACAATATTAGTAGACGGCAAGCATGCGGCTACGTTTTCTTTCTATATTAGTTCACACAAAGCACTTAACATACAGTATTTGCTCATGATGTCCAGGCATGGATTGAATCTGAAAATGAACATTAGTCTAGTATACTTCATATTCTCTCCAATACCCACTCACAGAAAATAAATACATATTTGATTTGATTAGAAAATATACACAGTATCTTATCTCCCTCCGTTTTGTTATTGAAATGACAAAGAACAACTACTTAGGTACACAATATTTTTATATATATTTTTTTTGCTTCATCTCTGAAACATGCACATCTTTTTGTCTTGTAACATGCAGTATCATAAAGTAGGAACTATGCATATATAGGTCAAACTACACGCCTATGGGTTTGGGGAGGGGGTGTTAGTTGCAAGTTGTGTTTTTTGTGTGAAAGTTCTTCAAAATGAGGGACATATACATGTAAGAGACTAAACCTAAGAGTAAACAAAGACAGCGATTCCTAAAATGAGGTTTCGATACGATACTAGCGGGAAAAAGAAAAGCATGATGTCATATAAACAAATTATAAATAATCACACATCCATTAGACATGAAAATGTCAAACTGCACTGTGAATGTGGATGGAAATACCTGCTACTCCACAATCGAACATCAGAGTTATTGCAACTGAACACAGCCTGTCAGAAGAGCTGCTTCTGTTTTATCCAGGGGAATCTCATATGGGAGACGTCACTGAAGCAACTTTTAAATGAAGATTTTGGCGCAATCTTCAGATATTTGTAGGTTTGAATGACACAAAATGGCTTCAATTTGATTATATTTAAGAATCAAACTAGGAGAAAATATAAGATAATTAGCCCCACCACTAACCGCATCTCATGGCAGAGGGAAATATTTAAAACTTTGAAACTTAAATGGAATGTTTATCCAACACTGAAAATTCCGTTATCGTTTACTTACGTTGACTTTCCTTCTTCTGTGGAACACATTTTGAAAAAAGTTTATTTTCATACAACGAAAGTCAATGGAGTCCAATCTTGTTTTGGACCCCATTGACTTTAACTGAATGGACGAAAACAAAAGAGTCTTTAAAATATCTTTGTGCAATGACATGGGGTGAGTAAATGATGACATAATTTTCAGTGTTGGGTGATCTATGCAAATTTCTCTTCCTCAGACAAAGCTATTATGAGATTTCAGAAGATGAGTAGAATTAAGTACTTTTATTGTGCTTTTGACAGAAAACCACACAGGTTTCAAATTTTACGATGACAGACTTTTCATTATAAAACGGATACAAAAAGTTTATTTTCATACAACGAAAGTCAATGGAGTCCAATCTTGTTTTGGACCCCATTGACTTTAACTGAATGGACGAAAACAAAAGAGTCTTTAAAATATCTTTGTGCAATGACATGGGGTGAGTAAATGATGACAGAATTTTCAGTGTTGGGTGATCTATGCAAATTTCTCTTCCTCAGACAAAGCTATTATGAGATTTCAGAAGATGAGTAGAATTAAGTACTTTTATTGTGCTTTTGACAGAAAACCACACAGGTTTCAAATTTTACGATGACAGACTTTTCATTATAAAACGGATAGTTCCGGTCCTTGACTCTGATTGGTTGGTCGCGTTCGAAGCTGTTGTAAATTACACTACAAACATACACCTTTGTTTACTTCAGTGTGTTGCTCGGCAAACCACTTTGTTGGAACCACAACTGTTTCTGAGGAACTACATTGTTTGGTGGAAGAATACTGTTTTTATTTATATCATTATACTTTATTTGCTCTGTTTTATTCTGTGAAACCTTACTACGTACACTATATGGAATAACCATTTATAAAAGCAATAAGCCCCGTGAAGCCATGGTTTACAGTGAATTTATAACAGCTAAGGGGGTTTTAGGCACTCCACTTCGTGTCGTAACAATGCCCCTTAGCTGTTATAAATTCACTGTAAACCACAGCTTCTTGGGGCTTATTGCTTTATTTTAACCCTAAAAGCAATTGGATAAATTACTATTCATTGTGGCAGTAGAGTAACGTTGCATGTTGTTTGAATACATTACAACAGAGATATGTTAATGATGCATGAAAAAAGCTGCTAAAGTGACGTTTCCTAATGAGAATTAATTGGTTTTTATTGGGTTACAGCTTGTACACAAAGTCTCCCTCGAATCCACTCTTGGCTCTTTACATGAAATTTTTGGCCTGGTTAATAAGTCTATACTCAATAAATTATGCTTCAAAAAAGTCTTGATCCAATTCAGGCTTGCGAATTTGCTTAATTTCCCAACTATTTAATGACTGAACAAATATCACAAGATTCCATCATTGCCAAAAGAGTTCCTACAGGCAATATGAGGATAAAACACAAAAATATTTAGTTCTGTCGGTCTTAAGCAAAATGATATTCTGAGATTCACATCCTCACACAATGACTCATACTGTAAGCCCTAAAACAGCAAATGATACAAGCTCCCTTTTTAAACAAATGCAAACTCTGACAATTCGAATGAAGAATGCGGCATCACAGAAGCAAGTATTGAGATTGATAGAGCAACATGTACAGAATGCAATTCCAGTAGTGCAAATAAGTTCAGCGGTTTGGTAAGATGTGCAGTAAATACACACATAACAGTGCCTTCTATCAGCTCTTCTCGTGAAACCATAAGAACGTCTGGTTGAAACCATGAATAAAACACGAAAACAAAAAGTGATGGAAGTTCTCAAAGGAATAGTTCACTCATGTTTTTTTGAAACCCGTATGACATTCTTTCTTTCTTCCATAGAGGACAAAAGGAGAACTTTTGAAGAATGTTCATGCTGCTCTTTTCCACACATTGAAAGTCAATGGTGACCAAGTCTGTCAAGCAAGATTTTTGTAAAATTTTGTGAATAATGACCTAAATTTCAGTCTGTGAGATCGTCAGAAAACTTGGAATTAAAGCCAGCGATTCACTTCCACTCTATGGAAGAGAGCAGCGTGAACATTCTTTGAAACATCTCCTTTTGTGTTTCACTGCCGTAAGAAAGAAAAGTGAGTAAATGATGACTTAATTTTAATTTTTTGATGAACTATTCCTTTAATGAGAAGGTTCAGAACATCAAAAATGTACAAAAACTGCAGGTAACAATAAAAGCAAGTTCAAAACGAAGCATTGACTAAAACAAAAAAATACCTTCATTTAAAGTGCTTAGGCAGAATACATTTACTACAAGAAATCAAAGCAAGACGTCCCTGGCAGCTAAGAATTGCTTATTTCATGATGTTTCAAGGCTTGTCTCCTTTTTGTCAGGGTTTGTTAGGATGTTGGGCAGTGGAAGAAGCCAGCTGACAGCTGGAACTGAAGAATGGAAGAAGAGGTTGTTTTGCAGGCAGTGTAATCGACACCTGAAAGATTCCTTCTGGCTGGATAGGATCATCGAGTCCAACTATCTCTCCAATCCCCTTTTTTTCACAATGATAAACAATTCTTCTCTGTCCTTTCAGACTCAACAAAAGTAACAGAACTGATTTCATCTAGATGATCAGAGAATCTAGAAGGAATGTGTTAAATTAGGCAGTGTTTTCTATCCCTGGTCCCCGATTTGGGTGTGAATGTGAGCTTACATCTCTTCTGTGAATAAACCTCAAGTATATACAAACCTATGAGCACGGCTTGACTTCAAGAACATCTGTGGAAAGAGTCTCTCTCATTAGACCCTGATCCACTATCTCATTTCAGTTGTTGATGAGACCAAATGGTCTTCTTTAATACCTCTAGTCTGGTGGCCCATGGCTGTAACTCAGTGCTGATTGAGTAAGATGACATGGTGTGCATGTTGAAAAGTGAAAGAAAGGAAGGGGGGAGGTAAAGGAGAGAGGGAGGGAAGGAAGAAGAACAGGATTACTTCTTGGCAGTGAGGGCTGCTAATGTGGCATCCACCTCCTCCTCGGGTTTGAGTGGATGCCACTGAGCGATGGGCCTGCGTGGGTTCGCCTGCATGTCGGCCCAGTGACGGAGCTCAGTGCCCTGCGCTCTGCTGCCCACCCAGATCTTCCCGATGGCGTCGTTCTTGCCGATCTTATCGTAGTCTAGCACCGTGACCACAGCTTGTATTTTCTAGGAAGGAACAGATATTGCGCTTAAAGTTTGAAGGAGCACGAAAAGGTGAGCTGTTGTGTTGAGATGTGTAGAGCGTACCTCCATCTGGTCCTGTGGGATCTCAAAGCTGAAAGACTCGTTGTAGTACGGGTTGAGTGTGTTCTTCTTCACAGTCGTCTTCTTCTTCTTCAGCCGCTTGCCGTTCTGCAGAAGATGAATCTTCACGTAGGGATCTGTAGAGGTTTACCAGCACAGGAAGTCATGCATTTATATGCTGTATGTGTATACATTTCAGTTGGCATCTTGTGTATTTTGTATAAATTACTTTTGATTTGTGACTAGAGACCTTAAGGTTTTCCTCAAAGGAATGAGCTCTACCTTGAAGACTTCAATAAAGTTCTAGCATATCCCAGATAATCCAGTGTTGATATTGTAAAACTAAAACTTTAAATCATATTCATTAAATGAAATAAAACTGAAGTTGAAGTACTAAAACTACCAAAACAAAAACTGAAAAAATAAAGCATAGAAAAATAAATAGATACACACGCACGCACGCACACACGCACACACACGACTAAAACTTAAACTAAAATGATTTCTCTGTATTCTAGCACAGATAATCTAGTTGACATTGTTAACTAAAACTAAAACTAAAACTATTAAAAATCATATTCAGTAAATGAAACAAAGCAGAAATAAAATAAAATACAAATATTAAATGAAATACAATTAAAGTTGAATTACTAAAATTACTGAAACAAAAGCCGAAAAAATAAAGTTCACACACAAACAGGTTTGTTTTTATGGTTTATGGGGACTCTCCATAAGCGTAATGATTTTTATACTGTACAGACCGTATATTCTATTGCCCTACACCAACCCTACCCCTCACAGGAAACTTTCTGCATTTTTAGATTTTCAAAAAAACTCATTCTGAATGATTTATAAGCCTTTTGAATTACGGGGACACTGAAAAAAATGTCCTCATAAATCACCTTCTCGTTGTAATACCTATGTCATACCCATGTTATTATACAAATTTGTGTCCTCAAACCACATAAACATGCACACACACACACACACACACACAATATATAAACTTAAACTTAAACTAAAATGATAAAGCTAATTCAAAATATTAATTAATACCTTAATAGTATATGAATAATACTAATAAGACTTTACCACACAGTTTTTTAGTAAGCTGGCTAACCAGCTCTGTAGCTAGTGAATATTTCATTACTTACTGTACATTGCTAAGTCACGGATTAATATGAATATACAATATATAAGATAACTGAATGGAATATACTAATTATTCAGGTCTTGTTTTACACAATAATAGGATTACTACTTATTTTTTATTATTACTATTAGTGATTAGACTTTTTCTATGTACACAAAAGGCCTATTTCTCTCAAATATTGTTCACAGATGTCGCAAGTTTTGAGGGAGCGTGCAATTGGCATGCTGACTGCAGGAATGTCCACCAGAGCTGTTGCCCGTGAATTGAATGTTCATTTCTCTTCCCAGTTCTTCCATGGCCAGCATACTCACTGGACATGTCACCCATTGAGCATGTTTGGGATGCTCTGGATCGGCGTATACGACAGCGTGTTCCAGTTCCTGCCAATATCCAGCAACTTCGCACAGCCATTGAAGAGGAGTGTACCAATATTCCACAGGCCACAATCAACAACCTGATCAACTCTATGCGAAGGAGATGTGTTGCACTGCATGAGGCAAACGGCGGTCAGACCAGACACATTTTAGAGTGGCCTTTTATTGTGGCCAGCCTAAGGCACACCTGTGCAATAATCATGATATCTAATCAGCATCTTGATATGCCACACCTGTGAGGTGGATGGATTATCTCGGCAAAGGAGAAGTGCTCACTAACACAGATTTAGACAGATTTGTGAACAATATTTGAGAGAAATAGGCCTTTTGTGTACATAGAAAAAGTATTAGATCTTTGAGTTCAGCTCATGAAAAATGGGGGCAAAAACAAAAGTGTTGCATTTATAATTTTGTTCAGTATATATATATATAGAAAAAATAAAACATTTATTACAGGGGAAAGCTCATGGATCGCCCTTTGCAGGATTCAAACCTACAACCAAACCAGTGCTTATACCATTAGGCCACCAACACCAGGTCTGTTCTACAAACACCTGCAATTTTTTTTTTAAGATTGGAAGGTTAAGGCTTGTTTGGATCATTTTATGCTGGTGCAGCGTGTTGTTCTCAGAGTCGCCAGCAGCAGATGGCAGCAGTGAGGACGGACTGAGAGAGGCGTGTGCTACAGAGTCAGCATGTGAGGGCTATCTCTTCTGCATGGCTAGCACTGACACTAAAGCACAGGCGTGACAAACCCACCGCTGCAGCACAGAGGCCGGCTGTGCATGTTTGGCAGAAACGTGCCAAATTAATGACGTCATTAAAACTGAAACAAAGAATGAGCAATATATGCATATATATGACATACTTGCAACAGAAGACAGAAAACAGAAATCAAAACATATGTTTTTGGGTTATAGCATATGCAGGAACATCCAGTCTTCTGCACGAGTTTATCTCCACCCACTCTCTGGTGGAGAGAGAAGAGACAAGGCAGTGCGTTATGTGTGTGTGTACCTGAGAGTCCTCCAACATCCATCTTTTTCAAGTTCTTAGCCTCAAGGATACAGATGGTGAGTTTTCCAGCTGTAGGTACATAGCGCAGAGAGATGCAGATATCCCCAAGCTTTTCAGGCTGTTTTGGGGAAAATGAAATGGGCAGTTTTAAAGGGACAGTCTTTTTTTGGCATCTAGGTTTGGCATACGAAATCACAATGCCGCTGTAACTGGGTTTGCCTACGCTGCACCGCTTTCTTCACGCCATCTCTGGATGAAGAGGCTGTGCAGCAAGTCGTGTTGACAGAGTTTAGAGTGGAGGGAAAGCTTCAGAATAAAGTTCATTGTTGAAATTATGTGAACAACACACGGTATCTGTGTATGTCCGAGCACATGCACACTTTGGTCAGAGCGGTAATAATGCTGTTAAAGGTGTTTAGGTGCCTGTTTATTGTGATTAAAATTGTGTACACCACATAGTTTAATGTAATTATGGTTACGATTAAGGCGCATAACTGCATTAGTTTGATCGAAGCACTGTGTTTATTAAATGAGGAAAAGTTTAATTGCAATTTTGCCCAAATCACATTATGATCGCATTATGAGTGTGCATGTAAGCGTAGTCAATAATGCCAAATGCTGGGTGTCCGATCATGTGTCGTGACATGCCCAATTGGATATTTAAATCTTACAAATTAGAATATTTAAATCTTACAAATTAGATCAGATTAGAAATATTTTCCTAAATTGGGAAAAGTTCTGAATAATTATTATTTTAATGTTTTTGAAAGACGTTTCTTATGTTTAGCAAGGCTGCATTTATTTGATCAGAAATACATCAAAACTGAAATATGTTAAATATTTTAAACATTTAAAACAACTATTTTCTCTTTGAATAAATGTAATTTATTCCTGTGATCAAAGCTGAATTTTCAGCATCATTACTCCAGTCTTCAGTGTCACATGATCCTTCAGAAATCATTCTAATATGCTGATCAATGCTGCTCAAGAAACATTTCTTATTATTATCAATGTTGAAAAGATATTCAACATTGATAGATTAATACTTTTATTCAGCAAGGATGTTTACACTAATACTAAAATATTATGCTATTATACTGTATATAACTGTTTTAAACATAGGTCTGTATAATAAAAACTGTTATTAATAATTGACCACTAATAATTGATAGTAACTGAGCATCAAATCAGCATATCAGAATGATTTCTGAAGGATCATGTGACACTTAAGACTGGAGTAATGATGCTGAAAATTCAGCTTTACATCACAGGAATAAATTACAATTTACAATATATTCACACAGAAAACTGTTATTTTAATAATATCTCACAGTATGCGTTTACTGTGTTTTTGAGCAAGCAAAAGCATCTTTGGTGAGAGACTATTTTCTTAATTATTCCATTAAATTATTATACATTTTTTTCTCCACTATTCACTTTAGTTGATGAACTGTATGAAAAAGAGCAGCTTGAACATTCTGCTAACATCTTTTTTTCCCCCTACGGTTTGGCACAACATAGGGGACTGAATAAAACATTGAATAAAACATCAATAGTGTCTCATCAATCAGTAATTTTAATGAAAATGTGTTAAGGTAGAAAGGAATAGCATTATGTAACATTATGGGCGTAAAAGCATGTTTAGAGGAGCTGGTTCATTAACTCTCATTATTATTAGAGGACGACAGCTGCTAGTTATCGTGAAGTGAATGCCAGATGCAGGACAGGTGTACCTCCTCTTTCTCTGCGCTATCCAGGTCTCTCCATTGCTCGATAGGTTGTGCCAGGTCCAGGGTGTTCATGGGAATCTTCACCTCACCGATCACATCATGCTTTGAGAAACGGTCGAAGTCGTACACAGACATGACTAGAGTCTTTCCTCCCATTTCAGTGAACGGAATCTAGAAATCAACATCAGCTCATGAGTACTTTGACAGACTAGTGTGTTGGGTGCCGAAACCTGGCATAAACTGGTAGTGTACTGTAAAAGATACTCTACCTTAAAGTGGAAAGTCTCGTTGAAGACGGGGTTGAGGGTTTTCTTGTGCACCTTGGTGTCAAACTTCTTCTTCTTGTCTGGGAGAATAAAAACTTTGACATACGGGTCTGAGGTCCCGCCACTGTCCATGGAGAGAAGATCTGCAGCTTGCAGGATGCCCACTGTCAGCTGCATGATAAGAGTGTCAGTCTTTACTGAGCAAAATCTGTTGTAACTTTTTACATGATTGCTGGTTGTGCCACAAGAGTCATATGAAACCAGCATGATTTTTCCTTTTCTTAATCTGGCACAATCTAAAGGAGCATCACATTAGCAAAGTTTTGTGGTCAAAAATGTCCAGCGTCTGTCAAACCTAGTAGATTTATGTTGGTCAGCATGGCAAATTTGCATGAGAATTTTAAACCTGGATTAAATCTTTTGCCCTCATGCAGAATTCTAGAATGCATATATTCTATTGAAATGACTGGATTTTGAGCCTGAAAATGGTAAAAAAAAAAAAAAAAAAAAAAAAAAAAAAAAAAAAAAAAAAAAAAAAAGGTAAATATGACCACATATTTAACTAAAACCATAAAAAAATTTTTATAGAGTATAAATAGTTAACTTCATAAAATAAATACATGTAACAGAAATACAATACAATATATATATGAAAAAAAACTTAAAATAAATAAAATATACATAAAATAAATAAAAAATTAAAATAACTAAAACTGAAATAAAATTAATAAAAACTAGACATTTAAAAAAATACAACAACAACAAAATGACAACAATTGTAACTAAAATTTAAATGAAATGGGAAATTTTTTTTTTTTCAAAATATCAATAAAAACTGTAATGCTACGATACTAAAATAACACTGGACGTAATTGACCCTTTACTCCCTGACTTTTTGTCCATTTGTGAATATTTCTGAGATGTTTTTAAAGTGTTTTTAAACAACCTTAGGGATAGCTTTAAACAATAATTGGATAATGTGTCCTGGTTTTTAATTCATGCCACTATTTCTAGGTGTTTAGTTTCTGTATAGAGATTTGTTTCACTCAGCTTGCTGTACATTAAAATATTTTGACATGAAAAATGCACTTGATGTACACTTAAAATACAAAAATAGCTGAAGAACAGCATAGTATGCTCATACAAAAGATGAGAATAATGTTATGTGTATGTAGGACAAATCTGGGCATTAATGTGAACTGATAAACAGAAAGATTAAGACATAATTCACTTAGATATTCAAGCGGATGTGTTTAAACACACTGTAAAGCGTAAAGTGGCCTTACCTTGTTGTCAGAGAAGTCGTAGTCTAGGGAGAACTGTAGTTTGCCAAGCTTCTCCTTCTCTTTCGGTTCCTCCTCTTTCTCTTCAGTTATTCCCATGTCTATATCTTCTTCATCATCATCCTCGTCCTGTTTCTGGAGAGACAGAAGCACAGATGGACGTTAGAGGAGAAACTAGAGCAAAGGCAAAGGAAGGTAAATGAAGTTCCCCAAACATGGTTCGTCGGGCCAATTCTCAGCTTACCTGAAGTTTGCCAGGTGTCAAACCACCCGGGTGTTACTGTATGTAACCGTGTCAGTGATGACCTTCATAGCAACATGACTTGATTTCACTTTTCCTATCATGACACCATTTGCAATCGTCTACATTACTTTTGCGGAGGGAAAGACAGACAGAAGGCTTCTAGTCTTTCTGAAGCAGTCTGTCCATAAATCGATTCTCAGTCTGCAGAGTATGTTAAAACCCCGAGAGATGAGGACGGAGTCTAAAGGGCTCGCTTTTGCACAGGAAGAAAGATTCAGAAGATACAAAAGCGAAGTGTTAAAGCCAATACACATATCAGCCCAAATATATAATGTAAAATGATGGACATTTTGGAAGAAACGTTTGGCAGACAGATACTAAAGATCACAGTACAGGAGCAGAATGAGTGTTATTTTACACATCATCATTTCTCACAGTCCTGCTGCAATGGGGAAAAAAAGCTGAAATGAATCTTAATGAACTTATATCGTCATTTAATGATTCTGTTGTAATTAGTACGTTTGTGCCCTGTGCTGTAATTGAATATTTTATACTTGACAAGGCTGTCTATTGTGTGCAAAATATACTTTAACATGTCTTTTTAGATTCAGTTAAACATAATAGTGTAATCATAAAAGAAGAAACATCAAATTAATTGCAGTAAAGAGAAACAATGACATGGAAAAGCCTATGTCGAGAGAGAGAGAGAGAGAGAGTCTATGAAACAGTCTTTGCTAATACAATTCTTCCAATAATTTGGATTATATGGGTAGTGTATAGCATATTTTTCATGGGATTTGCCAAATTATGTGGTCTGTGGCATCACATCTTATTCAAAGAACATGTTATGCTCCTACGCCTTCCACAGACAATATAAATACATTTAGACCACTTAACTTAGTGATTGCTATCGGGATGTGAAGAGACTTTCAACCAGCATGTTTTCAACCAAATCACCTACCGTGCCTTGAAAGAAATGAAAAGAAACACAAACTGAACTCGGTGTGAAAAAACAAGTATCCATGACAAAGATTGTATTAGTCTCTCAGTATGTATTTTTAATAATGTTAAAATGGTTTAATATTTATGAATTAGATTTAGTATGCATCCATGTCATTGCAAGTGTAGTGCACTTGCGGAGAGACTCCGCCCACACACTCTTCTGATTGGCTGTGATTTTTGATTGAGGTTTTCACGTCACATAGGCCTAACCGTGTCGCGACTTTTGTGAACTTACAAATTGCTTGTCGCTGGAATTGTATTGCATCACGCCCGATTATGACACAGTGTAAGCAGTAAAGTAGACCAGACATTATGCTGATAACCGAAAGTCTCTCTCTGCTAGCCTAGCATTTGTGTCCTCTGAAAGACTTGGAGTTAACATAGTACATAACCCTGTTACGTGACTAACACTGCTTTGGGCGCAATAGCGACCCCAGCAAGCTCATCCACGTGGGAACATCCAACCGCACTACTGGATCCCCGCGGTGCTCATCAGATCAAGCATTTCTGAGATTTGTTATGCACTTTGAAGAATTTATGCAGCCTCAAATGCAATGCTGGTGAAACAGCAAATATTAGCTTACATGGAGATGTCTGCTTCAGCTTTGGGAAAAACAAGAAAAGAAAAGAAATACAAGAATACAAGACGAATGAAAAGAGTTGAATCAGAATGTCTCTAATCGAACAAAAAATGCTTGGGGTGAGGATTCATCCTTCCTGACCACTCACCCCAAAATATACAAACACACACAAATTCAAAAACACGCGCTCTCTCTCTCTCTCTCTTTCTCTCTCTCACACAAGCAGCAACGAAAAAAAACACAATTTCTTATATCTTAACTGACAGGATAGAATGCATTCATGCATGCCAAGCCACACACAAAATGCAAAGTCTGAAAATATTCCTCATTGATTGCATAATTGTTCAAACCATAGTGAATAAAACGATGCTGGTATTAAATCTGGAGGATGATTAATGATGAAACGGACTAATGCGGTATTGCTAATATGAAGTGTGCGGTGGTTCTCTTGCGTAACCTTCAGGAGACTTGCATTGAGCATTCAGAGGCAGTCATGCTAAGTTCTAGCACATTCATCTTAGTAAAGGTGGCAGATGGAATAAGAAACGGTGAAGGAGAAATAATTCACTCACAATAAACGATTATTTGCACCAACAGCCCTGTGATCAAATTAGCATGTAATGATTAACCATGTTTATTACAACATGATTTAAGTTCATAATTTAAACTTATTCAGCCTAGTTTTTTTAGGTGCTATTCACTACCCCAAGAAAAATCTAAACAAAACACTGGCCTGTTATGTGTCGAAAATGTATGATGTGCTTTATTTCGTGAGAAACCAGTAAAATGCATGTGTGTAAAGTGGAATTATTAATCATGAAGGCATTTTAAAAAGGTTATTACATGATACATTAAACCTCGGTTCAGTTGTTGGGGCAGTGAGATATCAAAGGTGAAGTGTGTAATTTCCGAGCCACTAAGCTTTGCCGAATTGAAAAGATGAAGACTGTTTTCAAACAGGTTTCCCATGTCATCTGTCATTGGTCGGATAACAGACAGCTCTGCCTCAAACTCACACCACTGGTTGAGCACAAGAGCCCAATGTTTGGATAGTTAGCATTGCACTGTTAGCCTAATATTAACTACATAATCACAGGGACAAAAGCATATTTATTGACGGCTATTTAAAAGTAGCCGTGCATTCTTAATTTTACCTTTGAAAGCAAAACACCAACTGCAAATATTTCATTAATTTATAGATGTTTTACCATTTCTTTTGAAAGAAATGAATAGATTTATTCAGCAGGGATGCATTTAATTGATCAAAAGTGACAGAAAAAAAAGCTTTTCTTTTGAATCTTGAAAAAAAGTGTTTCACTGTTTTCACAAAATATGAAGAAGCACAACTGTTTTCAACATTGATAGTAATAAGAAATGTTTCTTGAGCAGCAAATCAGCACATTATACTGATTTCTGAAGGATCATGTGACACTGAAGACTGGAGTAATGATGCTGAAAATTCAGCTTTGATCACAGGAATAAATTACATTTTATAATATATTTACAAAGAAAACTGTTTTCAAATGTAATAATATTTTACAATATTGCTATTTTTACTGTATTATTGATCAAATAAATGCAGCCTTGGTGAGTAGAAGAGACCTCTTTAAAAAATAAAAAATAAAAATAAAAAATAAAAAAAAGATTTTATATTTTTGGATATATATATATATCTGTTATCTTATAGTGATAGTTCACCCAAAAATGAAAATCCTGTCATCATTTACTCTCCCTCACATTATTTCAAATCTGCCAAATTTCAGCAAATGTCACGTATTTCCACATCATTTACATTAAGAGCTTTAACACTGAAAATATTACACACATCACCCTTGACAATATTTCAAACTAAAGCACACTAAGCTGGCACACACACACTAACACACACACCAAAAAAAAACAAACAAACAAAAAAACTAAACCATTACAACAGGTCTCCTGGTGAAAGGCTGTTTCCCACACCACCTACTTCATCCCACGACTCATCTCTACATTTCAGGAAGAAAATAAAAGCTTCTTTGTTTCTTTCCACACAATGGGTCGTCCAGGAAAGTTACTCTCAAGTCAAGTCATGGTCATTCACTGGTGCCTGTATGAAGGGCATGCATTGGGCTTTGTCTCAAACGCTGCTTCACCTCATCTGGACATTTCTTTGGTTTCTTTTGCTACTAGCTAACTGCTTTAAGAAAAGGATGTATAAAGATGTTGCATAACTTAAGTTAGGGATCATTTAAGGGACAGATTTGTGATAGGTGAAGCAGCTTTCAGAGGACAAATCACCAACCGTACCCTTTCAACATGCATGTTAGTGAGGATTGGTGTGTTGGTGTCTCAATAAGCTAGGATGAAGTTTAAGTTCATAACCAAATGCACATCCACTTCTAAAGGGCCATTCCTTCTACTCGTTTGGCTGTACCCCCCATCCCGTTCATGTGGCATGTCAAACTGGTGGAATGCGAGCCCTCCCCAAACCAACCCCAGACTAGCTCCTCAAGCAACCTCAGCACCCCTGCAGCTCGCAAGACTCAAGAAGAAGCCAAAAAGTTCATTCCCAGCCAGTTTTCATAGCCCAGTTCCCCCCGCCCTGGTCTGAGCTTACACCAGGCAGTCAGAGAGGGGCACTGCAAGCCATGTCACACCTACCGTAAGAAGACAGGTCCAGCACAGTCAAGATACACGGAGCACATATCAGACACAAAGTGGGAAGGATAGAGAGATGAAGAAACGGAGAGAGAGGGAGAGATTGAACTCACAGAAGGCAGAATCAAGTAGAAGAAATCAAGTAACACTTAATGAACATGTATCAAAAATGACACACTTTTGTTTAAATAAACACATTGTGTTATTGGCTAATACAAACATCAAATTTAACCAAAGAAATTTGAGAAGCAAACCACATAGAGGCCCATTTATTATACAGTAAGGGAGACTGAGGGCAACTGTAATGCATTAAATGTCTTAAATTATTTAAAAAAATTTTACCATGACATAATTTCATCTGTTAACTACAGTTATTATGATTATTATTATAATATTATATATTATATAAATATGACCATTTATATTTATAATATCATATGTGTGTGTATTATATATATATATATATATATATATATATATATATATAATACATTTTGTATAATTGAACAAAACATTTTATTTAAAATATATGTTTTTTTATCATAATATCTAAATAAAGACTCTTGATTATTTCAGATAATTATATAGCACTATAGGTCAACACTATTCAATAATATCAATAAGTATTAAAGCAGTCTTATTATATTTTGAATTTTGCTCTTATCTGAGAGTGTTATTTTAGTATCATTGAAATACTATTATAGTTTTAATATTTAAAAATTGTGAATATACTTATAGTTTTAATATTTTTATTTTAGCATTTTCATTTTGTTCATAATTTTTGTTCATTTTATTTTTTATTAGGTTTTACTTCAGTTTTAGTTTAAGTTAGTTTAGTTAAACTATGAAAATGAGAAATGCTGCAAAATTAAAAAGTTTAAGTAGGTTTTTTTTAAGTAATGCTTTTTTATGGGTTTTATCTTTCGTTAACTATAATAACCCTGATTTGAGATACACTGGTATAACTATATTTACATTAATAATTAATAGTGTGCAGTTACTGATTTTTAACTTTGTCAATATGACTAATTAGGCAAAATACTGTAGTTTAAATTTTTTTGTACCAAAATAAATGCATTGGACAGTTATTATTATTATTTTATATATCTATTATATATCTATATCTATTATTATTTATACATATTTGTATTCATTTGCAATAATTTATATTCATATTTAGTTCAATATCAAATCGAATCATTCTCATTATATCTCTATTAAAGTGTTTATTTTGCCACATATACAGTAAATGGTACTTATACTGTTCAAAAAGCTAGCAGACAGTATTCAGTAAGTTATGAAGGGGAAAAAACTATTACAATAGCCCCTGGTCTCCCATAAATAATAAGCTTGTCTTGAAGGTGTTTATGCACAACTAAGTTTGAGATTATTTATATAGAAAATTATATATTAGGATATGAATTTTAATGATTACCAAAGGGAAATTAGCTTGTCACAATTGCAAACATACAGCACACAGCGGGATCTGTCACAACACGGCAAATACAGCCAAACTCTTTAGCTACTCAGTTATTATATTTCCAGCACAGATAAAAAAAGATTTAGTGCTGCTGTGCGTTCGCTGGAAAGTGTGTCATTTTTAACACAAAAGCACAAGAGATTTACAGCAAATACATTCTTTTGGAAACCAAATTATACGAACACGGCAAATGAAATGACGTGGCGGAAATCTTTCATGTTGCTTTCCTGCTTTACAGGCAGCAAATGATGTATAACACTGAATATTTTATATTCCATGAATATTAAATGGCTCAAAAATCTTTTCAGAATACCAACCATCCATTTGCTTGACCTAGAAGCTATATTAAGGATATGTGAAGGGTAGTAACACAGCCGTTTTTAAAACAGACAAGCTCGCTGAGTCTTTCAAATTTGAATCTTTTCAAATAATATATTGCTTTGTTAAAGGCATTAAACAAGTGAAAGATTCAGATTAGATATGTATTGAACGCTATTAAACTCATTAGCAACAGACGGAAATTAGGAAGTGGAAAAACATTAATCTTTCTGTCTCTCTGTACAAAGTTTTAAAGGAATAGTTCACCCAAAATTTAAATGTAGACATCATTTATTCACTCTTAAGTCATTCTGTTGTGAGACATAAAAGGAGATGTTGAGCAGAATGTTCAAGCTGCACATGCAATCAAAGCGAATTGTGATTTTTACTGCCAAGCTCCAAAAAGTCAAATAAGCATCAGGTTGGTGTGATTAACAAAGAGAAATATAAGAAATCATTATCTGAATTTATGGATTTTTATATCATTTTGGAGCTTGGCATTATAAAACACCATCTACTTTCATTGTATCTAAAATAACAACTTGTAAAACTTCTGTAACATCTCATTTTTTGTCATGAAAGAAAGAAATACAGGGCTGAAACATCAGAATGAGTAAGTATGATATAAAATATTAATTTTGATGTGAACTATCCCTTTAAGGCTGAAGAGCGCCGGTGTCGGGTGTTCGTACCTCTCCTCCCTTCATGTTCTTCATTCCCATGTCTCCCTTGCCTTTCTTTCCCTTTTTGCCTTTTTTCTTCTTAAGGCAGGTCTTTTTAACGATGCAGAAGCAGCACGTGAGAATGAGGACCACGGCTACGATGGCGATGGCGATGATGGCCCAGGGAGGCACTAAAAGTGAGAGAAGGACAGAGAAAGATGGAGGAACAGAGGCTGGAAATACAAATCTAGATTGATCAGGGCCATTAAGAGAGCCGAGCTTGTCTTCACCATTACCTTCATCAATGGAGAACAGGACTACAGCTTAAATCTCACTGCTTGTAGGGGAGAGTGTATGTAACTGCAAAAAATGTAGCTTCAGGCATATTCTAGATAATGAAAGTTTGTCAAGACAAGTGCTGCACCCCTAATAGTCGACTGAACGTTAGTTGACAAGAAGCTTAGTCGACCAAAATTGTATAAGTCTGTTAGTCACAAATAAAAAAAACTGCCTGTGTTCATGAAGGAAAGATCCTTGAAGTGATTACCGTGGCGATTCTAAGATTTCAATATTAGGGGGCTCAGTCCCCGATGATGGTATGATTAAAATAATAATATATTGTTTAACAATATATACAATAGGTTGCACACAGCTAGATACAGCTTGAATATTGATTTAATTTCAAATTATTTTAACTAACCATATTCATTTAGAATAGACAAACCTTATTTTACTGTAATTGTCTAGTTTGGAAGTATGTTTAATCTGCCCTATATTAAACCATTCCTTTTTGTTTTCTATTTAAATAAATAAATAAATAGCAGCACATGGATCTATCAATTTGCCACTTCTATAATTCATAGTGACATCAAAAATGTCTCTAGGTTACATATGTAACCATGGTTCCCCGAGGAAATGAGACGCTGCTTCGAGTCGCTTTGGGAACGCCCTTGCGTGACCGTGTTCTGAAGCACGTGTCAAATCCGTCCAATGGAGCAGCGAGACGTCACAAGCAGGGTGACGTAAGCACCAGAAAGCACAAAAGCGCATCCGGCCGGGCGCCACCCAGCTTCGATGAAGTAGCACCAGCAGGGACTTGGTAGTATGACAAAGAGACGCAGCGTCTCGTTCCCTCGGGGGACCATGGTTACATACGTAACCTAGAGACGTTCCCCTTCAGGAACTCGAGCTGCGTCGAGTCGCTTTGGGAACGAGAATACCCACTGCGCCATACTACCAAGTCCCTGCCTGTGTGTGTATCCTATGAGCACATCACGAAGAGAGAACTTGGGAACCTGGGGTAGAAGCCAGGTCTAGGTTGTAAAAGCGGACAAAAGTGTGCGGAGAGGACCAGCGCGCCGCAGCACAAATGTCCTGCAAGGCCACACCCAAGTTGAAAGCCTTGGAGGCCACCATACTCCTGGTTGAGTGCGCTCTGACCCCCATAGGTGACGGGAGGCCAGAGGACTCGTAGGCTAGTGAGATGGCCTCGACCACCCACCTACTCATAGTCTGCTTGGTCGCCGGAAATCCCTTCTTTGGCGGACCAAAACAAACAAAAAGCTGATCTGCCTTACGCCACGGGGCAGCTCTGTGTGCGTAAGCGTCCAGTGCTCGAACTGGACAGAGCAGATTACGCCTTTCTTGGCCTACTTCCTGGTACGGAGGAGGACAGAATGCCTTAAGTACTATGGGCCCTGGTGAAGAAGTGGGCACCTTAGGGACATACCCGGCCCTCGGGTAAAGGAATGCCCTAACCATGCCTGGAGCAAATTCCAGGCATGAAACAGAAAGTGCCTGAAGATCCCCGATCCTTTTTAGTGAGGAAATAGCGAGGAGAAAGATGGTCTTGAGCCTGAGCAACTTGACC